ACACTTGAATTTATGCTAATGAAGTGACTCTTGGTGGCCCCTAAATAGCTTCAGGATGGGGAGTGGTGGCCAAAGGAACAAATTGGGGGATTAGAGGGTTTGAAATTTACCACTGGATAACCAAACAGTAAGTATGAGGAAATTTCTCTATAAATGTGTATCAGCTAGTGACTGAGGAAGGAATAACAAAATTAGAATATTAGCATTTTCAGTCGCTAATGGGCTTGCACATACCATCACTTGTTTTTATCTGTGGACCTTAAGAAAATTTTATTTAATCCAAAAATGGATTCACAAGTAACTCTTTGGTTAATTACATAGGTATTTGAGTTCTGATGGGGGTTCTAGGCAGGGATTTATAATGGTTGAATTAATAACCAGGTAGTACTCCTGACTTACTCTGAGTCATTGCTGTGAAATTGCGTTCTCTAAATTACCTGTCTATAAAACAGATAATATGTACCCACCTCTTAGAGTTTCTCAAGTTTTCTGCTTATTAAATCAAGTGCTAGATGTCTGTTAAAATGGTTTGAAAACTGTAAAATGAAAACTCACAGAATGGGCTTTAGAGATGCCAAGTATTTTTTAATCAGTGTCTTGGGGAAGCATACTAACTACTCCAAACCTCTAATTACCCTTGTTCTCGGTTTGTAATCCATAAAGCTGCCTAAGAGAGTGGAGACACTCCTGTGGTCATTGATGCTTTTCTTTAGTGGGTGATTGGTTTCACTTTATGCATTTCTGAATGCTGTAGGCTGAGAATGTTGAAGGAAAGCTGACTTTCTTCGTAGTTTCCTAACTGTTGCAATCAGGAACCTTCCAGGGGTTTGTAGTTTGTAGTTTGAACTGCTGGGGCGTGGGGATTTTAGTTGTCATTCCTCACGTCTAGAATTTGCTTCCTCTCTATGGTTTGTACAAACCCATCTCACCTTCCAGCCTATTCATAGGTGTGTTTGAGTCTTCATTTTCTGGAAGTTTTTCCTTCATTGGTATGCTGAATTTTTTAAAGCACAGTGCTTTGGACTGATCAAAAGAAAAATACAGTAAATAAAATACTCTTTAAAAAAAGTGGTATAGCTGTAAAAATTTTCCTCTTGAGCCTACCTGGTGAATTTCTTCTTAGATCTAGAGGGTTTGTCAGATACAGGTGGTAATTTGTAGAGGCCTTTCAGTGGCACCGGGGGGCATGGAGTGTCGGTAGACCTCACCTACACAAAAGAAACCTTGAGTATGGGAGAGCAGATGCCCCTGCGGTGTCTTAACAGAAATAAGTATGTTATCAAGGTAGGGCAGAACGCCTCATAACTAGTTATTTTTTAACACAAGTCTGACTTTTCATGCCTACCTAATGACTCACAGAAGACAGTTTTATGAACCAGGTAATTGAGCTGGCCTTCAGGCAGTGCTCATCAAATTTTACAATAAATAGATAGTATATGATGATAAAAAATTATGGGTGAAAAGAGAGGAAAAGGTAATTTAACACTTTGTGGAGTTTGGAGGAGAGCCCCCAGAAGTATGAACTTTTAATTAACAACAGTGGACTTTGGTTCAAAGGACTTAGGTTAGGCTGTTTTTAAGAATTAAAAGTTAACCTCCTTGAGGCAAAACCATGTGATATCAAGGGAAACGAGGGGGATTTATTCTCAGCACCCTGAATCCAGAGTCTGGCCCTGCCACTTTCCCACTCTGTGTGTTTGGGCTTATCATTGTCCTCGTCTGTGATGTGGAGCTGGTCAGATTCCCTCGGAGGTGTTGTGACCATCGAATGGAGTAATACTGTATTTTGTTGGATCTCAAATATGATTGATTATGACACACCCTTATTTTTGTGCCATTGAGAAAGAAGAAATGCTGCCAGAGTAAACAGCTTTCTTTGGAGCATAAGATGCCCCTGACTTTTAGGAATGTTAAAGTAATGTTGGACAAAACTGCATCTTAAGAATCAATAAAATATAGTGTATATGAAAGTGCTTTGCTACTAAGCCTCGGGAGTCCTATTTAATCGTTATTATATGAGTCAAGGCAGTGAAACAAAGTTGTCAGAATAAATACCAGTGGGAAGCAGAGGCCCTGCAGGATGAGAGAACAGGTAGCTGCCAGGAGAAAGAGAAGTGCCTCTTTTCACAGAGAGGTGGCTCTCAGTGGCTCTCGGCTCCGCACTTGGCTTTCCATGTGCACACGGGTGTCTGCTTCGGGAGTCCCTGCTCTCAGGGACAGCTGACTTTGAGAGGAATCACCAAGTTATTTTCTCTGTTCAGTGTATGGATTTTCTTCTGTTTTAGATTTTATTGGTTTAGAATTTGAAAAAAAATTTTTTAAGATTTTATTTATTGTAGAGAGAGAGAGTATATGTGCGAGTGGAGGGAGGTGTGAAGGGAGAGGGAAAGAAAAAAATCTCTGGCAGACTCCCTGCGGAGTTGGGAGCCCAGCGCAGGGCTCGATCTCACGACCCTGAGATCATGACCTGAGCTGAAATGAAGAGACTCTTAACTGACTGAGCCACCCAGACGCCCCTGAAACTTGCAGATTTCTTAACAACCCTTGGTTAACTCTTTTTTTTTTTTAAGATTTTATTTGCGAGAGAGAGAATGAGAGAGAGCATGAGAGGGAGGAGGGTCAGAGGGAGAAGCAGACTCCCTGCTTCTGAGCAGGGAGCCTGATGTGGGACTCGATCCCGGGACTCCAGGATCATGACCTGAGCCGAAGGCAGTCGCTTAACCAACTGAGCCACCCAGGCGCCCGGTTAACTCTCATTTTTTAAGTGCAGACTTGAGCAAGGCTTCAGCCAGCCTGAGCCCCACTTGTAGCAGTGCGGATTTCAGCATTGTCCTTTCCCAGAGCGACCTTTTGTTATTGGAAAGGAATTTAGTCTTGTTTGCTGTTGATTTTAGACTTCTCTGTTCTTCACTAAGGTCATTTTATATTCAAGAACATGTTAGCAGGGCACCTGCCTGGCACAGTTGGTTGAGCATCTGACTCTTGGTTGCAGCTCAGGTTTTGCTCTCCGGGTCGTGAGATCGACCCCTGCATCGGGCTCCATGCTCAGTGTGGAGTCTGCTTGAGATTCTTTTTCTGTTTCTCAAAAAATAAATAAATCTTAAAAAGGCAAAACAAGACCGAATGTGTTTTGCTCACATAGGAGTTTGGGTTAGTTCTTATTTTCTTCGGGTAGAGTAGTTTCACTTAAGGAAAACGGTGACATCGTTCTTTAACTTGTCTCCATGCTTCCCCTTGGTGCACTGGAACATTGAGCTTACAAGTATATGTCAGTTACATCTCAAAAAAAGCAAGCAGGGTGGGGGTAGTTTATTTCTTAGTCAGACACCACTAGGTGAGACATAACAGTTCACCCTGACAAAAGCTTCAGAATAGCCCTAGTTGAAAAAGATGTTTTCCAAATAACTCTTTGCTGAAAGTAAAGTTGCATTTTGTTTTGTTTTGAAAAACACCTTTAAAAATGTGACTGTAGTTTGCAGACCCTGCTCTGATAGAAGGCTGCTTATTATGACCGAGGCTCCTTGAGGAAGTGGCTGGTTCTAAAGCTGGAGTGGGGAAGATAGAAGAAAAGCCTGGAGTTTCTGGTAGTGCCAGAAAATGAGACAGTGTTGGAGAAAGGGAAAGATGGGGTATGTCCAAAAGACCCAGTAGTCAACTTGAAAGAGCTACCAGGGGCCAAAGCTGGAGCAATTTGAGCTACAAAATAATTTTAATAATGGATTATAACCCAAAAAATATAAAATAAATGTCTATGAGTCCATAACTAAATAAATGACCAGATAAATAATTGAGGGAGAAGGGACAAATCTTCCTTATGGAAGAATTCCAGGTAATAAGTGTAGAAGGCATGAGGGGATAGAAGATCACCATTAGAACGTCATAGTGGCAATTACTGCAGGTAAAGTGCGGAGACAAATGTGAAAATAAGTGCGTCAAATTTTAGGCAGACACGGTATTTGCACAGCCCCAGAGTGTCTCCCAAATATGAATTACTGTGGCAGTTTTAACATTTGTCTACAAATTCTATAGTATTCCTTCCAAGGAGTGCAGCTTAAATCAAGTGAAATCAGTCACGCTTTATTCCTCACTTAGCGAAAATTAAAACAGGCAAGTGGTTATTGTCAATAATGCTCTACAGCCAGGTCAGCAAACTACAGCTGGGGGGCCAAATCCAAACCACCTATTTTTGTAAATAAAGTTTTACTGGCACACAGCCAGTGTGCCTGGACTTTGTCACCCTCTTTTAAGAAATACATGAAGGGGAAAAGTGGTAACTTCCCAGTGGTGACACCTGGGCCAAGAGGGGGGGGTTCACGTCCCTGGGAGTAAGTTGTGTCAGTGCTGTGTCTCCTGATGTGATGTGACGAGAAGAGTAGTTGGCTCTGGTATTCTAGGTTCTTCGCACCCATCTGTAACCTCAGTCCAGTCATCAGGCAGAAAACATCAGGCAACCCAAACTGAGGAACATTCTACAAAATGCTGACCGGCACTCTTCGAAAGTGTCCAAGTGACAACACTTGAGGGAAGACTGAGGAAGGTCAGGGCCTGGAGGAGTCAGAGGGATGAGAGGAGTGAGTGTGGCGTGCTGGTAGCCTGGGTTGGATCCCGGAAAAGAAAAGGGATGTGGGAAAACGGGGAAACCCGAGTAAAGTTGGAAGTTCAGTGAGTAGTGTTGTTACTACCGTTTTGTGGTCTTAGTTTTGATCACTTTGCTGCAGGGACATAAGATTTGGAAGCCTGGTGGAGGGTGTATGGGGGTGCTCAGGGTGTCCCTGCAGCACTTCTGTAAATCGAAGATTGTTTCCATGTTCAAAGTTTTTTTTTTTAAAACCCTGACTTCTTACCCTGGATTGGTCATCTACTTTCTCTTGAGCATCTAGGCATTATTTTCTTAATTCTTGTATGGGAAATCTATTGATTTGATTTGCATGTTAAAGTTGATTTTGGAATGTCCGTGTTGTTAATATTCTTTATATGTTAATAGTTCTTTCTTTTTCCAGGGGAGGCACCTGCTGCAGAAGTCTCATCTTTTGTGATCCTGTCTGTGTGCAGTTTACTGGTATTAATAGTGTTAATTGCAAACTGTGTATCCTGCTGTAAGGACCCGGAAATAGACTTCAAGGTGAGCACAGATGGTGGGAACACTTAGAAATCATCCTCTGACACATTTATCGGTAGATGGGCTGCGTATCACAGTCCCTCGGGAGCAGGGGTGGGCAGAACTTTTCTGTAAGGGCCAGATAGTAAATATATTCTGCCATTGTAAATGGGCGATCCTGGCCGGACGGTCTCTGTCACGGCCACTTAGCTTCGACTCTGCCATTGTAGCGATACCTCAACATGGGCATGAGACATGAAACCAAATGGTTGTGGCTGTGTGCCAGTAAAACTTTATTTACGAAAATAGGTGGTTTGGATTTGGCCCCCCAGCTGTAGTTTGCTGACCTGGCTGTAGAGCATTATTGACAATAACCACTTGCCTGTTTTAATTTTCGCTAAGTGAGGAATAAACGTGATTGAATTCACTTGCTCTAAGGCCTGTAAGGAAGAGCAGGCTGATTTTTTTTTTCTTCTTTTTTTCCCTTCAACTTTTGTATGCTGGTGCATTGTGGTTGTTAAGATTGTCAAGGCCAAGGGATCCCCCAGTGTGTTTTGTGTATGGGAAAGAACATCTTTCATTTTACCTGAACCCTTGAGTTTTCTGAGGGGGAGAAAGAATGGTACCAATTGTAAAGTCTGGTGGGGGTCGGGGGTGGCGGGAAGTACTACAGAGGGGCTGTTTTAGCTGCAGATGGGTGGAATCTGCTGGAGACCAAGTGGGATATCCTGCTCTAGAACTTGCCACATGCCTGCTGGTGTGCACTAGGGCTCATCGAATACTTGTTAAAAAGGAATACTTGAAGAAAAAGAAGGAATGCACTCAGAGAAAATGATCCTTAATGTCCGGCCCTGCCCGTTGTCCTGGGGCTGTCCTAGGGGCCCTGAGGGCCACGGGTTCAAATTGGGGGAAAAAGCTGTCTTCTAGCTACAACCCTCTTTTTAGTGGACACATGAACCTTCTTGGTAGACCTCACACCTGTTTCTGTGTTTTCTTTACCTTGAACCTGACAGCAGCTCCGAGAGATAAGGAGATGTATTGTCCCTTTGGCTTGATGGAAAGATGAGAGCAGAGGGAGGCTGGAGGAAAAGACGTAACTAGCACAGGCCACATTCCTTAGAAGATCCTGCTTCAAACAACTGTAGGGTTTTATTCACAACTTCAGGCCCCAGGCCCTAGAATCACTACAGACACTTCTGTGACTGCATGGAGGCACAGTATCTCTGTCCCTTGACCCTCAGTCTTGCTGAGGGACTGTGTATAGACACCTTGTCTTTTGGGGACAAAGATAAAGTGATCAGTGCTGAAACTGAAATCCGGGCTCTCATGTGTCATGATACCGCATTCTTGCCTTAGATTGTTCTGACCCAACTGGGTCTCTCTGTTGACCCAGGGAGTTTGTTGCGATGTAGATTCTGGGACTCCGTGTTTCTGTCGAGCTTACCGAGGTGGTTCTGGTACAGGTATGCCCAGGACCACACTGCATAGAGGATCCTCTCCAGCTGTGTAAACCATGACTGAAGGCGAGCGTCCATTCCTTTAGATTTAGAACTGTGCAGTGTTAGAGACTCTTTCCCTTGGAAGTCACGTTACAGACCAGGAAGCTGCTGCTTGGCAGAGGAAGCAACTTGCTGGAGTATATCCGGGCAGCCCCTGGCATAGCTAGAAAAGTGACCCAGTCTTCTCTCTAGCCCCAAGTTTATTTTGCTGTTTTACTTCTCTGAATCTTTAGAGTCATTGGCTGCCTAATGGTATATCATGCTGCTGCCAGAGTTTTGAGTGGCATTGTTCTTAAGGTAGGAGTGACGGATAAAGTCGTTTTTTTTTTTAAGATTTATTTATTTTAGAGAGAGAGGGAGATGGAGGGAGAGAGCGGGTGGGAGGGGCAAAGGAAGAGGGAGAGAGAAACCCAAGCAAACTCCATGCTCGGCATGCAGCCCAACACAGGGCTTGATCTCACAACCCCAAGATCAGACTTGAGCCGAAACCTGGAGTCGGATGCTCAACCAACTGTGCCACCCAGACACCCCAAGTCTTTTTTTTTTTTTTTTTTAAAGATTTTATTTATTTGACAGAGAGAGACACAGCGAGAGAGGGAACACAAGCAGGGGGAGTGGGAGAGGGAGAAGCAGGCTTCCCACTGAGCAGGAAGCCCAATGCGGGGCTCGATCCCAGGACCCTGGGATCATGACCTGAGCTGAAGGCAGACGCTTAACCGACTGAGCCACCCAGGCGCCCCACCCCAAGTCTTTTTTAATGAGAGTAGCTTTAGGAATGTCCAAAGGGGAATTGAGCAAAGCTCTTCCATTCAGAGGTGCTTCATGGATTGAAGTTATGGTACCTTGTTTGTCCCACCCCCTCCCCTGTTACAAATAGCAATAAATGTCCTAATGTGTTTGACAAGATAGGTGACATATATGAGGATAATGTTCTCCCACATGCATGTGAGAACATACATATTATATCAGAGAAATCTACCCTTACAACTTCTGGTTTTTCCCTCGTAGGGGTTGGGGGGTGCAGCAAGGGGATGAGGTAGAAAAGGAAAATGAAAAGAAGGATATTCTGTAGAGGAATGGAAAACAGTCTTGTTCACTGATCTCTTCTCAGCTTCTGTTACGGTGCCTGGTGGGTAATACTCATTAGTTACGTGAGCGAACGAATGACCTTGATCATCGTCTGTATGAATGTTAAATTAACACGGACACCAAGGAGGACGCAGCTCACTGGAATGATGACAGCAGGAGTCGGGCTAGCTTTCTGCTGCAGAGTCATTGAAAAGACTCCTGCAGCTTTACGGGCACAGCTTCAGTTCTAAAGTCGCCATCTTCAGAAAACCAGACATTCTTTGTGTGTTAACAGTACTTATGTGCGGGATGCCTGGGTGGCTCAGTCGGTTAGGCGTCTGCCTTCGGCTCAGGTCATGATCCCGGGGTCCTGGGATCAAGTCCCACATCGGGCTCCTTGCTCGGCAGGAGGTCTGCTTCTCCCTCTGCTGCTCCCCCTGCTTGTGCTTTCACACTCCCTCGTTTGCTCTTTCTCTGGCAAATAAATGGATAAAATCTTTAAAAAAAAAAAAAAAGTACATACATGCTACACAGCTTTAGCCTGACATTCGTTCAGACACCGATGATTTTTCTACCCAGTTCAGTAATTTTTCCATTGTTACTCTTCCCAGAGAAACAGGACTTCCTTGAAAATATCTTTTCCGAGTTTTTTTAACTGTCCTTATCTTGATTGAAATCCTATTTCAATTAAAAATGGGTATATGGTTTTAAAATAAAATGGATCGGTTTGGATTCAATATGCAAAGAGATTTGTGAGATTGAATAATAAAAAAAGAATAGCTAGCTCCGGTAACTTAAAATTTCCAACCTAGAAGAGTATTTCCATGTGTGAAGTTCCATCGTCATGTTAGAAAATTTTGCATTTAACTTCAAGCCATCAGTTGGGAAAAAAAGTTGCATAAAGTATGTATAGTTTATTTTAAACCTTATTGATTCTGCTGTTTGGCATTGGAGAACACAATTAATGTATGCTTTTTACTTAAGTAGGTACAAATTGGGGGAAAACTTTAAGGCCGTGTGTTTCAGATGACTGAGTAAATGCTCATGTCTCAGATGTTAGCATATGTTTTTAATATTTGTTCTCAGACTGGTTTATATCCGATATAACATTGCTCCTCTTTTATTTTAGGAATTTGAAGATAATTTTGACGATGAGATAGATTTCACACCACCAGCAGAAGATACCCCCTCTGTTCAGTCCCCGGCAGAAGTTTTCACACTTTCAGTACCAAATATCTCACTACCAGCTCCGTCCCAGCTCCAGCCTTCTGTAGGTAAGGCCTTACGTCCCAGCGTCATGTTTTCGTGAATCATTTCTCAGAGGTGAGAGTGAGAACCTTGATGCTAATCATAAGATACTTGGATTACCTGTCTCGTCTGCTTGCTTATTTCTCTTCTTCCTGCTCCCTGTGGAAGCTGAATTGTAGTCTCGTCCAGTGCATGCCTGCAAAAGCTGAGTCCTTTGCTTTTGGACCCTGAGTCTGGTATCAGATTAAACTGGTCTCCTCTGTTCACTGAAGTGGAACTCTCACACAGAGCTCCCGGCCTTTACTTGGGTAGTTCTCGACACTGCTCGTCTTCCTGAGTAGGACACTGCTGTCTTTCCCCGGGATGTCCTGTGTTTGGGGAGGGCGGTATATTTGGATATGTTAGTTGGATTGACTTTAATGCTGAGATAGAGGTTTGATTAGATGTTGATCGATTTATTGTTATAAAATAGAATATAGCAGCTGGAGAATCAGGGATTGCTGAGACTATCTGTTCTATCTGAGAGAAGGCTGTTCTATCTGCGTGCCATTCCTGTCTCTCGTGGTTCTGCACACAGTGGTGTAGGTTTAGGGCAGCATAAACCCAGCAGTTGATTGCATTGCTGTAGGCATGCATGACCGAGAGAAAACATAAGATAAAATGTGACACAGCTGGTATATTTCCTATAAAATATCTGTACAGTTGGGTATATTTAATATTTGTAGGTTTTGCAGCATTAAAAAACTAACATGTAGTATTTACCTTTAATTTTAGTAAATAACAATACCCTTCCTTCAACCAAAATAGTGAAATTTAACGGGAATCTAATATACCCTTGGGATCACTTAGGTAACCTAGGTATATGTATCTCTAAATGGAAATACTTTCTCTTCTCTTGGCTTTCTTTCTTCCTTCCTTTTTATTTTTAAAGATTTTATTTATTTATTTCTCAGAGAGAGACAGAGACAGCACAAGCAGGGAGAGAGGGAGGCAGAGGGAGAAGCAGGCTCCTCACTGAGCAAGGAGCCCAACGCAGGACTTGATCCCAGGATCCTGGGATCGTGACCCGAGCCGAAGGCAGCTGCTTAAACAACTGAGCCACCCAGGTGTCCCTTCTCTTTGCTTTCTTGATCACAGACTTTCCTTTATACTTAAGGGAGGCCCTGAGAGACTTCTCTAGAGGGCTTTTACCATCTTGGAGTCTTAACACTCATGAATTCATTTCAAGTAATAGAATCCTAACTCAGATCAGCATGTACAGAAAGGGAACTTTTTTTGACGCTGGAACCAGGCGATGGGAAGAGTAGGGGTTAGGCAGACCTTAGAGGCAACTGGAGCTGGGAACTTGGACACCATCGTGCCTTTCGTTCACTCCTCGTTTCTCTCCTCTTCGCGTGTTGGCTTAAATCCCGCACGCCAGCTTCTTTCCTCGGCTCGGAGTATAGCTGCTGCCAACTCCAGGTTCAGATCCTTGCAGCTTTACTACCAGAGGAAAGGAGCTTCTCAGACCAGAAAGAAAACCCTTGGCAAGCCATTCTGGTTGGCTTCCCCCGAGTCTGACAATGTTGACCCCTCACTGTGGGCAGGAAGGCACGACAGAGAAGAGCCTGATGACTTCTGTCCAAGACATAGTGGGGATGGACCAGGGCACAGTCATGGGCACAGCCAAAATGGTAGTGACCTGGACAGCCATCCTCATTACATTCATACACCTTTCTGTGTTTCTCGAGCCCTCTATTCTAAATTCCTTCTTAATAGGAAGAAATTCTTTCCAATTTCCCTGCATAGAATAGTTACAGAATATTTTTATGATCTTGGGATGGAAGAGGGCTTTCCCAACTTGACACCAAATGCAGAAACATAAAGGAAAATATTGGCAAATAGGTTCCAAAAAATTAAATATTCTGTATGGAAAAAGACACCATAAACAAATTTGACCAAGTACCAAAAATATTTGTAAACTACAAAGAATGTCTGAAAAAAAAACCCAACCCTGTTATATATTAATATATACTAAGATTACAAGTGAATGTATAAGAAGAAGACTTCAATAAGAAAGTCAAGGATGTGAAAGGAGAAATTCATGAAAAGGAATTCAAATGGCCAATAAAAAATAGGAATTCCGCTATTAATTAAAGAAATAACAGGGGCGCCTGGGTAGCTCAGTTGTTAAGCGTCTGCCTTTGGCTCAGGTCATGATCTCAGGGTCCTGGGATCGAGACCCACGTTGGGCTCTCTGCTCCGCGGGAAGCCTGCTTCTCCCTCTCCCACTCCCTCTGCTTGAGTTCCCTCTCTCGCTGTCTCTCTCTCTGTCAAATAAATAAATAAAATCTTAAAAAAAAAAATACAAACATAAAGTGAGATGATAACAGCTAAACAAAGATGAGAAGAAAGGATGCTAGGTGGTGATGGGTTGAGGGGTGTGTGTGGGAAACAGGCCCTTGGACACTCCCTGCTACCGGGACTGTAGATTGATAGAGACATTCTTCCCTGAGGGTAGTCTGACAGTATGTATCCAAATGTAAGATGTATTTACCCTTGATCCTGCAGTTCTGCTCTCAGTAGTTTATTTAGATCAGTATGCAAATAAATATCTACAAAGGAATTTATTGCAGCATCAGGTTAAATGTCTGTCAATATGTAACTTGTTAAATTATGGTAAATCCATACAATGGAGTATTATGTAGTCCTGTAAAAGGAGGAAAGGTATTTGTGATATATTAAGTGAAAAAAGTATACCATGTATTCAGGAGTAAATCTAGAAGAAACTCTACATGTTTTTTCCTTTTTTTCTTTTTAAAATGTATTTTATTTTATGAATAGGTAATATGGTCATACAGTTGAAAAACCAAAACATAGAAAGGTATATAGAGTGAAAAGCCTCTAATCTTTGAATCTGACCTCGGCTCCTACCCCCACTGTCTGTCTGTACGTAACCACTCTTCTTGGTTTCTTATACATCTTTCCGGACTTTATTGATGTAAATATTCCCATTTACGTGCCCCCACACACACCCCCTACCCCCCCGCCATCACCAAAACACACTTTTTTTACTCATAGGGGATGGTAAATACATTATTCTGCATCTTGCTTTTTTCACTTACAGATGTACCTTAGAGATCTTTCCGTATGCATAAAGAGAGCTTGTTTATTCCTGCTTACAAGTTTCTATTTAAATTGTATGGACTTAGCACAATTTATTTAACCTATTGATGGATATTTGGGTTGTTTCTAATCTTATGCTATTATTTCTAATCTTATGCTATTAAAAATAAAGCTTGTACCTATGTTGGCTTGCACACTGATGTTGGGCTGCTATATTTGTAGAATAAATTTTCAGAAGCAGTCAAAGAGTACATAATTTTGGGGGATGTTGCCAGCTTACCCTCCACAGGTAGTTGTGCTAATTTATGTTCCTGCTCTTTGCGCGTCAAATGGTATATGTTATTACTATTGAAGCTAAGTTGGTATCAGTTCAAATTAGATTATTATAAATTTAGGGTGATAACTGTAATCTCCATGGTAACCACTAAGAAAATAACTAGTAAATATGGAAACAGAAAATGAAGAAGAAATCAAAATGTACACTAAAAAAAAATTAGTCAAATATACACGAAGAAAGAATTTTTTGATGTTTCCTGATTTTAATATAGCCAAATTTAACAGCCCCTTAAGCTAGAAATGCAATCTCTCTTTTTTTAATTTTTAATTTTTTTTAAAGCTTTTATTTATTTGTCAGAGAGAGAGAGAGAGAGCGCGTGCACAAGCAGGGGGAGCGGCAGGCAGAGGGAGAGGGAGAAGCAGGTTCCCTAGGGCTCGATCCCAGGACACTGAGATCATGACCTGAACCGAAAGCAGACGCTTAACTATCTGAGCCACACAGGTGTCCCTTTTTTTTTTTAATTTTTAAAATTATTATTATTTTTTAAGAGTTAGAGCTTTTTATGTCTTAAGAAATCCTTTCCGGGCGCCTGGGTGGCTCAGTTGGTTAAGCGACTGCCTTCGGCTCAGGTCATGATCCCGGAGTCCTGGGATCGAGTCCCACATCGGGCTCCCGGCTCAGCAGGGAGCCTGCTTCTCCCTCTGACCCTATCCCCTCTCATGCTGTTTCTCTCTCTCTCTCTCTCTCTCAAATAAATAAATAAATTAATTAATTAATTAATTTAAAAAAAATCCTTTCCTATTCTGTGGTCAAAATGATACTTAACTACTTTTTTTTCCTACAGTGTTTTAAGGTTTTGCTTTAACATTTAAATTAATTTAAATCCATAACCCATCCTGAGTTAATTTTTGAGTATGGTGTTAAAGAATCCACGAATCTTTTTGGTAGATTACTGTGTTTTTCTCAGCTTTCTTCACTGATTGGTCCTTCTATTCCTCTTGCTTTTTAGTTCCCTAGGTAGGGGCACCGGGGTGGCTCAGTCAGTTAAACGTCTGACTTTGGCTCAGGTCATGATCCCAGAGTCCCAGGATTGAGCCCCACGTCGGGCTCCCTGCTCAGCGGGGAGCCTGCTTCTCACTCTGCCCCTTTCTCTCAAGTAAAAAAACAAAAAACAAAAAACACCATTTGTGTATGTGTCTGTTGTAGGCCTTCTATTCTATTTCAGTAATTTGTCAATTCCTTGTTCCAGTACCACATTGTCTTAATTATTTAATAGTTTCACAATAATGATGTGATTTGCAAGTTTTTCTCCTATTCTGTAGTTTGTCTTTTCACTCTTTTGGTGGTGTCCTTTGCTACACAAAAATTTTAAATTTTGATGAAGTCCAATTTATTTTTTTCTTTTGTTGCTTGTGCTTTTAGTGTCATACTTAAGAAACTTTTGTCAAACTCAAGGTCATGAAGATTTGCCCCAGTGTTGTCTTCTATGATTTTTATAGTTTTAGTTTTGAAATTTGGGTCTTTGACCCATTAGTATTTGTATATGGTGTGAAGTAAGGTTCCAGGTTCATTGTTTTACAGGTGGATAGCTAGTTGCCCCAGCAACAATTTGTGAAGAGACTGTTCTTCCCCCATTGAATTGTCTTGGCACCTTGTTGAAAATCAGTTGACCATATTTGTTTGTGTTTATTTTGGGACTCTCAATCCCAATGATCTATATCTAGCCTTATTGCCAGTATCACAGTGTTTGACTATTATAGCTTTGTAGAGAGTTTTGGAATTGAGAAGTTTATGAATCTTCCAACTTTGTTTTTCAAGAATATTTTGGCTATTCAGAGTCCCTTGAAATTCTATTATTTTTATTTTATTTATTTATTTTTAAGATTTTATTTATTAGGGAGAGAGCATAAGCAGGGGAGCAACAAGCAAGGGAGAGGGAGAAGCAGACTTCCCGCTGAGCAGGGATCCCGCGGCGTGGGGCTTAATCCCAGGACCCCAGGACCTGAGCCGAAGGCAGACGCCCAACTGACTGAGCCACCTAGGCGCCGCCCCCCCCATATGAATTTTAGGATCAGTTTTTCCATTTCTGCAAAATAGGCCATTAAGATTTGTGTACCATTTTGATTCCCTTTTGTTTATATATTTTAAAATATTTTCTTAGGGATCATAATTATCTTCAGTTTATAACAATTGTGTTTTAGTCGATACCAACTTTTAGCTTCAGTACCATATAAATACTCTGCAATTCAGTCGAGTCCTTTTATGTTATCACAAATTACATCTTCCTATCTTGTGTGCCCGTTAACATAGATTTATAATTTTTCATGTGTTTGTCTTTTAAATCGTGTAGGAAATTAAAAGAGGAGCTACACACCAAAAATACAATGATGCTGGCTTTTATATTTACCTACGTAGTTTTACCAGTGATCTTTATTTGTTCATATGGCCTCCAGTTACTGTTTAGTGTCCTTTTACTTTAGCCTGCAGGATTCCCTTTAACAGTTCTTGCAGGGCAGTAGTATAGTGGCAGCAATCTCCCTAAACCTGTGTTTATCTGGAGATGTCTTACTGTCTCCTTCATTTTTTGGAAGACAGTTTTGTTGGGTATAGAACTCTTGGTTGGTGGTTCTTTTTCTTCAGCATGTCACTTGTGCCATCTCACTGCCTTTTGGCCTCCATGGTTTCTGGTGAGAAATCAGTTGTTAATCTTATCAAAGATCCCTTATATGCAGGAGTGGCTCCCTTTTGATGCTTTCAAGATTCTCCATCTTTGGTTTTTGACAGTCTGATTATGATGTGTCTGAGTGTGCGTTTGAGTTTATCTTACTTGGAATTTGTTGAACGTCTTGGATGTGTAGATTCATACCTTTTTCCAAATTGGGACTTTTTTACCATTATATCTTCAAATATTCTTTCTGCCCTCTTTTCCCCTCTTTTTCTGGGGCTCTCATGTGTATGTTGGTCCCTTTGGAGCCTTTGCTCATTGATTTTTTTTTTTTCATTCTTTTTTTCTTCTGCTTAGCCTGGATAATTGTATTTGAACTCTCCTCAAGTTCACAGCTGCTTCTTTCTGCTCCCATCTTTGGTTGAAACCCTCTAGTAAATTTTTTTGTTTCAGTTATTGTACTTTTTGGCTCCAAATTGGCATTTGGCTCCTTTTACTAATTTGAACCTCTTTATTGATCTTCTCCACTTATCGGTACATCATTCTCCTGGTGTCCTTGAATTCTTTGTCCATGATTTCCTTTTGCTCTTTGAGCGTGTTTAAGACAGTTGATTTAAAGTCTTGTCTGGTAAGGCCACTGTCTATGTTTTCTCAGGGACACTTTCTTTTACATTTCCTTTGTACCTATGAGTGGACCATGCTTTCTTGTTTCTTTGCATGTTTTGTACTTTTTTGTTGAAAATTGGACATTTTGAATAATACGATGTACTTAGAAGAAGAAAGAAAACAAAAACAAACAAAGTATTCTGTGGTTCTTTGCAGATTAGCTCTGTGTTGGGAGCTCTTCACTGTAAGAGCTGTAAGAGCTACTTACAGCTCTGCCTTAGTCCTCACCTCCTGCTTGTGCTGGGCATGAAGCCGAGCTAGAGGTGTGAAAGTTGTGTTCTTCTCAAGTCTTCTGTGAGTGTGTGTCCTTCTCTGAGCGTGCAGGTGGCTCTCAAGGTTCCTCCATATATTGCAATAGCTTTTCAGAGCCCCTGTTCACCTCCCACATCTCACTCCCCCACTTTTCTGCTAAAGCTTCTAGCATGTCTACTCTTTGCCTCTACTGTTCTATTTTGCCCCAGTGGAAGTGTCTCATTCATTTGGCTTTCACTGTTCTTGAGGAACATGTTTTTGAGGAGCACTCTGTCCTGATAGAGTTCTGAGTTTGGTGAAACCAAGGGAAGCCACTTGTGGTAGTCCCTCAGGGAAACTTCCAGTAAAAGGAAACACAGTTCTTTGGGAATAATGAGGTCTGCTGCGCTCTGTCTGGAACCAGGACCCATACTGGGACATGTGTCATCATGAAGATCGCTGCTGCACCAGGGGCTGGGGGGCTGGGGCTATGATAAATTCAAAGACACAAAGAAATTCTACCCTGTTTCAGTGGCCTTTCTCCTGGTTTGATTGGGTTGCTGGAAATCTTTGTCTTCCATAGTTCTGATAAGGTTGACACCGACAGAGTTTGACAAGCTTTTCACCTGCACCATGAAACTAAGGACTAAGTAAAAGCCATTGAAATGGTGATTAGTGGTTATAAGAGAGGGTTTAGATGAGAAAACACAGTGCAAAGTATTAAAGAATCAGGTAGGAAACCCATTCAAAAAAATATTGTCAGTTTTAGGGGCGCCTGGGTGGCTCAGTCGTTAAGCGTCTGCCTTCGGCTCAGGTCATGATCCCAGGGTCCTGGGATCGAGCCCCGCATTGGGCTCTCTGCTCTGCCGGGAGCCTGCTTCTCCCTCTCCCACTCCCCCTGCTTGTGTTCCCTCTCTCTCTGTGTCTCTCTCTGTCAAATAAATAAATAAAATCTTTAAAATATATATATATATATAGTCAGTTTTAAAACTTGAAACCATTTTGGCAATATGAGTTTGAAAGTGATGGTGTATATATATGAGTTGATTTCTACCTTTATTAGCACAAGCTTTAAATTTATGTTTGTGTTTATTCTTTAGATTATATATTTAATACTTATTTTATTTCAGTTAAGTGCCCATATTTATTTTTTATGTTCTTTTTCCTATAGACGGTTTGAAGTCTCAAGTTGCCCGCCATAGTCTAAACTACATACAGGAAATTGGAAATGGCTGGTTTGGAAAGGTAAAATGTTCACATCTACTTTTTTTTTCTCCTCTTAGTTATAATGTTTAGAATTTAAAGCTAATTAAGAGTTGTAGGACATTCCACATTCTCTTTAGTTGCTATGGTACCAGTTAAGTCTACTCTTTACACCCTGAAATCACACAGGATAGTGAGCTTCAGTGTTTTTAGGTGTATGCATTTTTCCAAGAAGGTCTTTTATTTATATATCAGATACTTTTCTAATTGTTGGCATAGAACAGTAAGAAGGGAAGAGAGACTGAGTTTTTTATCCTCCTCAAGGTAAGTTATTTGTTTTTTAATTTTTCTCTCTTTCTCCCCCCTCTTCCTCACAATACTTAAACCACTTTAGAATTGTAGATACGTAGTATTATTATAATGGAAACCATGGCAAAGAACTGTTCTCTATTTCTCATAGCCTGTCAAGGGGCAAATAGAAACAGTGGTTTGTTGATCTTTTTATCAAGGGGTGTTCAGAAGGAATAATCTTATTATCATAGCTATTTCCATGGTGTAACTAGCAGTTGTTCTGTGTAAAAGGTTCCTGAGTGGCGATTGCATCATAAGCAGGGTGGTCAAGACAAGAAGAGGTATTTGCTCAGTCATCAGCCATCTTATGCAGCTTGTCTTTCCATTCAAAGTTGTTTGTCAGTGCTCTGTCTTTGACGTCATCCAACCTTTATTAGTGACCAAATCTTCTAAGCCATTTAGCAAAACCTGTTGTGTATCACACATTGTTTTTGTTGCTGAGGGTCCAGTGTGGAGGAAGGTAGGTGAAGTCCCGGCCTATGTGGAGTGCTAGGAATGTGGCAACAAACAAAAGAGAATCCTTGCCCTGATGAAGCTGAAACCTCTAGCTGTGGCGGGGTGTTGGCGGGGTGTGGTGGCAGGTGATCAGACAGCAAACAATCAGGAGTGGGAGATGGGCTCAGAGATGTGTGGGGGAGCCAGGTGATAAGAGATAGAGTATATGCATTTAGAGACTTTTACTCAGAGTGAGCTGGGAAAGTACTCCAGCATCTGAGAGAGGAGTGCTGTAATCTGGCTTACTGGTAAAAGGATCACGTGGGCAGTTAACGCTGTGGAAGACCAAGGGGAAAGCGGGAAAATTGGTCAGAAGGCTGCTGTAGTCACACAGGGAGAGATGCAGGCAGGCTTGGACCTGGATGATAGCCTGGAGTGGTGAGAAGTGCGAGCCAACGTGGATTTTCAAATAAGAGCATGCAGGACTGGGGATCGATCAGAAATGGAGTCTGGAGGAGGGGCGTCAAGGATGGCTGCTTATGGCCTGATTGGTGGGAAGAATAGAACTCCTGGCAAGTGAAATGGGAAAGATTAAGGAGAAGCAGGCATGGAGGAGGAAGTCAGGAGTTTGTTTCTGGTTAGGTTAGATGGGATGGCTCTTAGGCAACCAGATGGAGATACCGAGTAGGCAGTTGGAAATATATATCTAGAGCTCAAGGGAGAGGTTCCAGGCCAAAGATACACATTTGGGAGAGCTCTGTCTGTAGCTGGTATTCAGAGGTATGAGCCTAGATGGAATCATCAAGATTGTGAACGTCAAGAAGAGGGGGAGGCACAAGGACCGAGTCCTAAGGGTCTGCAATGAGGAGAGGTCAGTGCAGGTCAGTGACAGAAGCTGAGGTGATCAGCCAGTGAGTAGGAACAGGTGCAGAAGAGTGGGGTGTTCTGAGAGTCAGTGAAGAAGGAGTGCCAAGATGAATAGTAGTAAATGCTGCTGGCAAACTAAGATGAGGACTGGGAGAGGTAGGGCCCAGCACATAAGGGCCATGGGATTGTCATAAGAGGTTGTAGAGGGGGGACGCCTGGGTGGCTCAGTCGTTAAGCCTCTGCCTTCGGCTTAGGTCATGATCCCAGGGTCCTGGGATCGAGCCCCGCATCGGGATCCCTGCTCTGCGGGAAGCCTGCTTCTCCCTCTCCCACTCCCCCTGCTTGTGTTCCCTCTCTCGCTGTGTCTCTCTCTCTCAAATAAATAAAATCTTAAAAAAAAAAAAGGTTGTAGAGGGGTCAAGTGCTCACATGCAGTGGGCACAAGGGAGAAAGTGGAGACAGCACATTTAGACAACCCTGTTGAGGAGTCTTACTGTGAAAGGGAGCAGAGAAATGGAGTACGAGCTGTTGGGGACCATCCAAGGGCCAAGGGGAGGTGGTTTTTTGTTTTGCTTTGCTTTGCTTTGCTTTGCTTTTTATAGGATGTGCAGCTATTTTAGCCTCTTGTATATTAGAGTGGAGAAACTGATAATACAGGAGAGAGGAAAGGGGGCTTACCATAGGAGTTCTCTTGAAAAGGAAATAAAAACAGTGTGTGGATACAGGTGCAGGTGGATTTGGTGTTAAAATGAGGAAGTTCACTTCTCGTTATTTTAGTCAGTGAATAGGAGGCCAGTTGAAAGGGAGGAGTAAAAAGATGCATTGGGAGTTTGACCAGGAGAAGAAGGCGTGAGAGAGTCCTCTGGGAACCCTGTCAACTAGGAAACACAGTGGAAGGATGGGAATGCTGAGGATCCTCAAATTTGAAATGAGACCAGTCATCGTGGTTGTGTGTTTTGTCTACTTTTGGTGTTACCATAGGCAGGTAATTGAATTTAAGCAGTGCTGGGGTTTGGCTAGGCCCACAAGGCACTGTGAGAGGGGTAAGGGGGGTGGTGATAGCACAGGATGGTGGGGTCTTAGCTTCCTGGGAGGGGAGAGGGGCCTTGCAGTAGGGGCGGGATGGTGGAACCGTTGGTATCATGAATGGATCTGGAGGGCAAATTGGATGGATTAGACTGTTTAAGTGAGTGAGCTGGAAATTAAAGGACAGGTAGAGAAGGAGAAATCAAAATTTGAGGTTTGGGACATAATCCAGTTATTAACTAGGTCTGGACCCACAGGAGATTTTGCCAAGATGGAGGCAGAGAAAAGATTATTGGAAGTCAGGTAAAGACCTGAGAGGTCAAGGTGTTGAATGATGAATTATCCTTGCAGACATTGAAGATCAAGAATGATGGCAGAGAGAGAGAGAGAGATAGCGAGATTATTTTAACCTTTTTTGGAATTGCTATTTTATGAGTGTTAGGCTTATGATAGATGTACAGGCTGGTTATTTGAAACCAGAGTATATGACTTGGTTAATTATCAGAATTCCTTGTTCTGTTTATTGTTCTGCCTTTATGTTCTTAATAAACACATTATATTCTGTTCAAGGTCTTACTCTCTATTTCCAGGGCATTAAAATTAATCTACTTGATAAAAATATTAAAAACTATTTTAGGGGTGCCTGGGTGGCTCAGTCGTTAAGCGTCTGCCTTTGGCTCAGGTCATGATCCCGGGGTCCTGGGATCGAGCCCCGCATTGTGCTCCCTGCTTGGCGGGAAGCCTGCTTCTCCCTCTCCCTCTCCCCCTGCTTGTGTTCCCTCTTTCGCTGTGTCTCTCTCTGTCAAATAAATAAAATCTAAAATAGATAAATAAATAAATAAAAAATAAAAAACTTTTAAAAAGAAGGCTTTTAGTTTAGATCATTCTTGATTTAAATAAAAAATTTTACTTCATTATTTTCATCTTAAATACTATGTTTTGGAATGCCTTTGTATTGTCCAGTATTTATATTTGGTGTTTCACTTGTAGTGTGCTCTTACTTTCATTCATTTTTTTAAAAGATTCATCTATTCGAGAGAGAGAGAGAGAGAGCGAGAGAGAGAGAGCGAGAGAGAGCATGAGCCGGGGGAGGCGCAGAGGGAGAGGGAGGGAATCCCAAGCAGACTCCGTGCTGAGTACAGAGCCCTACACAGGGCTGGACCCCACCACTCTGAGGTCGTGACCTGGGCCGAAATCAAGAGTCAGTTGTCCCAACTAGCTGAGCCATCCAGGCGCCCCATTATTTTCATTCATTTTGTATTCTGTTCATTTCAGTGGCGTATTTTTTCCTTGTGTTTTGACTGAAGTTTTAGTACAAGATAAAGGTCTAGAATAATTGGAATGCCACAGATTTTTAAAGTTACGAGGCAACGATAGTGTATTTGTACATTGCCTGGGTGTCAGTTTACTTTCTCATATGTGAAGGAGACAAAAGAACAAAACCCAATTGAAGTGTTTTGAGAAACATTTGAGTTATGTTTGAACTGAACTTACAAATTACTCTTCTGTGATGTCACTGGTAATATCCGGGAAAGTATGGTACAATTTTATAATAAATAAAAAAGAAATACAGATACATATATGAAAGCTTCAGTATCCAGTGAACAGTTTAATACTGAAGGAAAATGGTTTCATTTTTCAAGCTTTTTCTGAGGTGGTATTTTCATAGTAGAAGGCCTGATTGTTGCTTAATTTTTTTTTTTTAAAGATTTTATTTATTTGAGAGAGAGAATGAGAGAGAGAGAGCACATGAGAGGGGGGAGGGTCAGAGGGAGAAGCAGACCCCCTGCTGAGCAAGGAGCCCGATATGGGACTCGATCCCGGGACTCCAGGATCATGACCTGAGCCGAAGGCAGTCGCTTAACCAACTGAGCCACCCAGGCGCCCGATTGTTGCTTAATTTATTTCCCCATACTCTGCTTCCTGATAATGAGACATACTTGTTTACCATTTTGATGGAAGTGAAGTAAAAAACTGTTCTTTGGTTTTAGGTCCTCCTTGGAGAGATTTACACGGGCACTAGTGTAGCAAGAGTAATAGTGAAGGAGTTAAAAGCAAGTGCAAGCCCAAAGGAACAAGATACTTTTTTGAAAAATGGAGAACCTTACTAGTAAGTAAACCTTAATGTGTGTTCTGTAAACATAGTCTGTAGTCTAATGAAAATCAGGTGTTTAAAATGACTTTGCTATTTATCGTATTTCAGTCATTATGAGTGTTAAAATTTGATTTACTGTTTGAACAGTTCTATTAGCATGCTCCTTGATGAACAACACTATGACTTTTATTTTTTAGTATTCTTCAGCATCCAAATATTCTTCAGTGTGTTGGACAGTGTGTAGAAGCAATTCCCTATCTTCTGGTGTTTGAGTTCTGTGACTTGGTAAGTCTTTAGTGGAAATTCAAGGTCAAGCATTTAAAAGGTTACATCCAAGTGTTTTTGACACATAGAAATGCTGGATGAGGGACTGCTTTCACTTCTGTCCCCCATTTTTAAAACTTTATGATGTACTAAGTCATTACCTTTGAAACAATGCTATTAACTGACACTTAAGTATTGTTTTATATTCCATCTCTATATTAAGCTGCTTGCATGCATTACATTTAATCATATTTGTCCACACTTTATATATATATGATTAAAGTAAGGTTCACGGAGATGAAGAAAATGTTGTTTATCAAGTATGTGGCAGAGCCAGAGTGTGGATTTAGGATCGCCCTTCCTGAGCTTGAGGTCTTGACTTCAGCTAGGCAGTTCAAAACACTTTTCCCCATTAAGGTGATCTTACAAGAGTACCCATGACCTGTCAGGTTTTTATTTATTTTTATTTTTTTTAAAGATTTTTATTTATTTGAGAGGGAGTACGAGAGTGAGCGAGCAAGCAGAGCTGGGGTTGGCAGTAGGGCAGAGGGAGAGGGAGAAGCAGCCTCCCTGCTGCACAGGGAGCCCAACTTGGGGCTCAGTCCTAGGACCCCAAGATCATGACCTGAGCCAAAGGCAGATGCTTAACCGACTGAGCCACCCAGGCTCCCCGACCTATCAGTTTTTTAAAATAATGAATGTATGTGCTATTTATATTTTTAAATAATGAGATGATTTTTTTAACCTACAATTAATAGCCTAATTTCTTGCATGATAGTATTATTTACTGAGATTTATAGTGGAAAAACTTTTTATGCAGTTTTTATGAATAATAACTTTTATGTGTAAATTTCCTGTAATCATCTGTTTTTATTTTTTTTATTTTATTATGTTAATCACCATACATTACATTAATAGTTTTTGCTATAGTGTTCCATGATTCATTGTTTGCGTATAACACCCACTGCTCCATTCAGTACGTGCCCTCTTTTAATACCCATCACCAGGCTAACCCATCCCCCCACCCCAGTCATTTGTTTTTAAAAGCTAGGTTTTAATTCCCTTGCATTGTCTCAGTTTTCAGAATATTAAAACATTAAGACTATCCACAGAAAAGTGGGAGTACATCAGGATAAGTCCCCAGTTAGTTCACACAATATTTTCAGCTGGTAAAATGGAAAGAGAGCAGTAACCATTGTGGATTTTTGTTTTAATTCCTAAATGTGATTCGAATATTACGCTCATTGGCAGAGGTAGTTAATTCCAAAGAAAAATTAATAACCTTGCTATATTAGCTTTCATTGGATTATCAGAGTAACCCCCAAATCTCAGTGACTGATGAGAGCAAAGTGGTTCTCACTCATCTTATGCATTAGCTCTGGGGCAGCTGCAGCTCTCTCCCAGGCTAGATTCATCTTCACCCTAGGATCAACGTATTTTTTAATATCTGTAGGTGCTGTGGGGGGTGGGGGGAGTATATATTCTGGTATTCTATACAAATGTACCTGTATGGCTCCTTTTGGGTCAAATTTATGAGGTTGTTTAAATCTCCTCTATGCTTCTGATTTGGGAGGGCATTGATGGAGGAGTCTGAGTGTGTTCTATCCATTTTTGAGAGGCATATTATAATCTGCTCTGATTATGGATTTTCCTTATAATTCTAGTTGTATTTCCTTTGAATGTTGAGTCAGGGATACACATTTAGGATTGATATATAACATGTTGTAATTTTAAGCTCTCGTAATTATGAAGGGGCTCTTTTTAAGCCTTACAAGGATTAAGTCTGTTTTTACTGATACTAATATAGTTATCCCAGCTTTCTTTTGGTTAGAATTTTCCTGGTTATCTCTCTCAGTCCTTTTCTCTGGTTTATATCACCTGTAAATAGTTTATTGTTAAAATTTTATTTGTCGGGCGCCTGGGTGGCTCAGTTGGTTGAGCGACTGCCTTCGGCTCAGGTCATGATCCTGGAGTCCCAGGATCGAGTCCCGCATCGGGCTCCCTGCTCAGCAGGGAGTCTGCTTCTCCCTCTGACCCTCCTCCCTCTCATGCTCTCTGTCTCTCATTCTCTCTGTCTCAAATAAATAAATAAAAATCTTAAAAAAAAAAAAATTTATTTGTCAGTCTTGATCACTTAACATGGAACATGTACTCCATTTATGTATATTATATTTATGAGATACTTGGAATTTTATGTACCTATTCTGTATTATTTTTCCTACCTACCTGTTTTGCTTTTTTGCTAGCCTTCTTTTGGAGTCTTGATTTTTTTTAAAGATTTTATTTATTTATTTGAGAAAGAGAGTGCAAGAGAGAGAGAGAGGAAGAGAGAGAGCACAAGCAGGGGGAGTGGGAGAGGGAGAAGCAGGCTCCCTGCTGAGCAGTCTGCTGTCAGTTCTCGTTTTCTGAGACACTTCATGCTGGCTTTTCTGGGTCCTTAAGCTCTTGATATTTTTTATAAGTAAGAGTCACCACAGTCTTCATGAGTGAACACAACAGAAATGCGGCAGGAAGCGTATCTACTTGAAATACCACATTTCTGGGTTAATCAAGGTGGTTTATTAAACTGTCTCATACATACTGGTATTTCCTATTCTTCACCTTCCTTGTCCGTTCCTGGAAGTTTTATTAGACGTTGTTGTTGTTGTTCCTGGAATGGGCAAGGCCTCTGGATGCTCAGCTTGATGTTTCTTCTGAATGGTTCAGGTGATGGGTTAGTTTTAGTGCTATTTTAATTTATTTTTTCACAAAGTTACCTATTCTTTTTGGGCCAAACTAGGAGTTTAACCCACTTTATGAAGAAACTCTAAAACATTACAAAATACACAAACAACGCCTTTACGATGATCATAGATAACCCATAATTAATAAGATTCCTGAGTATTCTTTTTATCTTTGTTACTATACATTGTTTTTATATAAATATAATAACTACATGCTTTTTGTTAACATTTTTTTAAAGAGTTTATTTATTTGAGAGAGAGAGGGAGCAGAGGGAACAGAGGGAGAGGGACAGGCAGACTCCCCACTGAGCAGGGAGCCTGATGCGGACCTTGATTCCAGAACCCTGAGATCATGACCTGAGCTGAAGGCTAGACACAGCCAACTGAGCCCCCCAGGCGCCCCTGTTAACATTCTTTTCATAAAAATTTTTCCCCAGTACTTTTTAGATCTCCCATTTAAATGCATATTCTCCAAGTACTTAGACTGAGTATTCAGAGAATATTAACTTGCTAAAGTTGTACTGGCTTTCGTATTTTGGGGTGAAGATTATGCATACAGCTCTCCAGAATTAACAGTTACGACTTCTTGAAACATATTTTATGTGAACCTCCTAAGTCATAATGGGGAGTGTCCACTCCTGAAGGCTAGATGTGTGGAAAGAGCCTTCACCCCCACCAGCAGCTTTCATTAGCAGTGCAGAGTTAATAGCTATTTGTATTTAAGTGCACTGCCCAGTGGTACATTGATCAACAGTAAAACTTTATTTTTTTTTAAAGATTTTATTTATTTGACAGAGACACAGCAAGAGAGGGAACATAAGCAGGGGGAGTGGGAGAGGGAGAAGCAGGCTTCCCGTGGAGCAGGGAGCCCAATGAAGGGCTTGATCCCAGGACCCTGGGATCATGACCTGAGCCGAAGGCAGATGCTTAACAACTGAGCCACCCAGGCGCCCCAACAGTAAAACTTTAAAAACAATAATTGTTTCTCAAAAAATTAAAATAAAATTACCATCTGACCCAACGATTTCACTTCTAAGTACATGTTATCCAAAATCACTGAAAGCACTTCAAAAGAGATATGTACACACCCGTGTTCAGCAGCATAATTCACAGTAGCCTAGAGGTAGAAGCAATCAAGTGTCCCATCAGTGGATGAATAAATAAATAAAATAGAGTCTGTCCATACAATGGAGTATTACTGAGCCTTGAACAGGAAGGACATTCTGGCACCTGCTTCAACATGGATTAACTTTGAGGGCATTATGCTCAGATAAGCCAAACCGCAAAAAGACAAATACTGCATGATTCCACCTACGCGAGGAACCTAAAGCAGACTCACAGAGACAGCGAGTGGGATCGTGAGTGCCAGGGACTGGGTAGGGAGGGATGGGGAGTTGAGTATGTAACGGGGACAGAGTCTCCATTTGGGAAGATGAAAAGAGTCTGGAGACAGACGGTGGGGATGGCTGCACAACAGTGTGAAGGTGCTTAACGCCCCTGAACTGGACACTTACAAATGGCTAAGATGGTAATGCTTTGTTTACCGCGCACACCCAAGTCAGTGATTGCCTACTGTTAGTGAAGGCGCTGTCCCTCGTGTCACCTATGCCAGCAGGATGCCCCTGTGCCCTTGGGGAATCTGGCAGTCAGTGCTTGGAGTGCCCAGTCTCCCATCCAAGGAGAGCCTGTTGACCCAGGGAACTCCCCAGCTTGCCCAGCAGCAAGGGCTCACGTTTGTGCCGTTGGACAGTTCTGTGCTCATCACCTCTGGGCCTAGGAAGCTTCGGCGGGAGCAGGCTCAGCAGCAGCAAGCGCTGCGGCCTTGGCAGGGTCCCCAACTCTGAAGTCCAGTTGTCCGGGCTCAGTATATGCGGTGGCCACGTGGCAGGAAGCGTCAGGTAGCGTCATCCCAGTGAGCCAAAGAGGGCCCCCAGCTGCAGGGATGTCCCCCCGACACACCAAAGCCTCGCTTCAACACTGAGCCCTGCTCCCAGCCTGGACGCTCCACAACCCTCCCAGAAATAGGCCATCCGGAGCAGAGGGGCGTCATCCAAGGCAAAACGGCCCACTGGCAAGGATCCAGGGGACTGAGGGTTAATAGCTCAGGCTCGGTAATAAGCAGCTGCAGCCACAGTGAAAGGCACCACTATCTTCACATGTTCTTAGTAGGTCAAGAGCTATTGAATGAACATTGGCCTTTTCAGTCGTCATCGGGGCAGTGATCATACTCAGTGATAACGTCTTTTAAATAGAAGGGAGAGAATATTTTTGCACTTAAGTAATTCTTGCGAGATGGAA